ATAAAAAAATAAAAATAATAAAAAATAATAATGATAATGATGATAATAATAGTAATGATCATTGCATTCATACTTTATGCACTTTGTAAGTATTATGATGAGATGTAAATGGTGTGTGCAAGATGGAAAATGCAAGCCTTTTAGAAAGGCCTTTTTTTTTCTATGTATGAATTTTATACACTCTTTTCTCAATTTTCCACATGCCATGTGCAGATGGAATCAACACGGCCTGGACTCACTTCTGCATGACGACGGTCTGGGCCAGACTGAAGGAGACGAGCAGATGTCCAAGCTGAGTGACACAGTGACCACCAGCAATGTGATGGAGGCGCTGGACCTGAAATATTCTCTCCTGCAAGACAAGGTCATCGTGGAGATGGCTTCTTTTGCTGCCAGTACGTCCTTTTCTATTTTTGTGGTTGTTTAATGGGCACTCTATTGTGGTTTGCTCTATTCTTCTTTCCTATCAATCTATAGTCTTTATGTTTCCTTCTTTCATTTTGAATGTTACAAACTAGTAGTACCTCTAATCTCGGGTACTTATATGACCTAACTGTGTTGCAATTGCCGTGGACAATTTTAACTGTTTTTCTTTTTTTTAAAAGGACAATTCTGTCTTCTGCTTCAGATATGGACAGTGAGAAATCTGAGACATTTCAGCAAATCAAACGCCTTGTCACAGCTTCAATCAAGAGTAAAAGTCTTGCAGAGAATGTGGATGACTTGCCTGGAGCAAAAGTGGAACTTTCCATGAGTCTGCTAGGCCTGATCGGTGACCTGCACTCGGCAGAAGCAAATCGGAAAGAAAAGTTTAAGTCTTTGGCTTCAGAGTTGCAAACTGAGGAGAGAACTGATGAGCAAGTAGATGCTGAGTTGGCAGAAAGATACAAGAGAGATGTGGCAGGTAATATATTTATTGCGTTGACAGTGGTGGTGGGTGGGTCAAAGAGTTCGTGGGGCTCTGAAATTAGGGTAGGTTGAGTTCAAAGGTAAGAATTCCCTTGTTGAGTGTGAGTGTGTATGTTTGTGTATGTGTGGAAATAGTCGCAGAAAGCAAGACATTTCTTACAAGGGCCCAATGGTTACTGGGTCCTTGGGGAAAGTGTCATGAACTTTCAACTCCTTGTCAGGACTTGCAGAGTATGATGATCTTGTGCCTTTTTACAAGAAGAGTTCGATGATCCTGTGCCTTTTTACAAGAAGAGTTCGATGATCCTGTGCCTTTTTACAAGAAGAGTTCGATAAGAAAAGACAGTGGGAACGGGCTCATTCTTTGCTGAGCCTTAAAGACATTTAATTTTGATGGGCTGTTAGGTTATATTCATTAATCTTTGTAAGCAGTGACAACAGTGATTGGGAAAATGAGCAAATGTGTGTGTCCACAGCATGCAATTAGAGACATGAAGATTCCAATTAGTGTCATTGGTCACTTTGAGACAACGGGTCGAAAACTGTTTTCCGTGTGGCAGAGGGATTCACAGCTAATGATTATGCTTTGAAATATGCAACGTTTGTTTTTTTAAATGCCTCCAGTCTTTAAAGAGTGATCACTGGGATGTGCATGTTCAGAATATTTTTCTGAACTATTAAGTAAAAAAAAACCCCTGATGTGACTTTCTGAACTTTTAACTTATTTAGTAAGAGTAAAATTGTGGGTATGTCTGTATTAGGCTGATGGCCCATGTATAAATGTTCTGTTGTAATATTCCTAATGCAGGCCCCCGTTCATGTGGCGCCATCTTAACTCAGCTGGACATGCGGCACAAAGCAGAGAGGGATGCAGTTCTTCACTCTCTCCATCAGAGCTCTTCATCTCTCCCACCCTCTGCTGTGCTAGCCCTGGCGTACTGGCATCTGCTGCGGCAGTTGCGACTCCTTCAGTTGGAGCCGTTTGTCACATCAGCTGCCATTTCTGTGGGGCTCGCTGAACGAAAGCAGGAATACAAACCTAAAAGGTTTGTTTTGAATACCTTTATTGGTTGAAACGTATGACATGATTTTAGTTGTTTTTTTATGTGACCTTTTTTGTTTTGCTTCTGACATTTTTTCCCTGGCTCTTATATTTTTGTTTGATTATGTAGATTATCAACTTTCTTCCTCACAATAGCTAAGACTTAGTCTCAATTTGTTCAGAAAATGTCCTCCTTGTATCTGACATCCATCAAGTATTTATGAAGATGTTTTATATTTCTTTTTATTTGTCCTGGTTTAAACATCCAGGTATGACTGGGACAGACAGCGTAGTGAAATTCTGGCGAACTTACGACTGGAGTCACGAAGAGGACATCGACCAATCAAAAGATCTACCGCCGCCCCAGACCTGGACAGTCTGCAGAGTCTAGCATTAGCTGGCATCAAGCAGAGACTTGTGGAAGAAATGGAGCAGCGCTACTTTTTAGAGAGAGAGGTAGCAATCTAGAGCAATTCTTTGTTTTCAAAATTGTTTACGGGTGAACGCTTTCTATAATTGTAGCATGTTCCTTCTTGATAAATCACTGACAAGTTGTGCAACTGTTTTAGGCCAGGAAAGCAAAGTTTTTTAAGAGATTGAAAATAAACAGAACTGTTTTATTCTGTTAAAAACTGTACCCAAATAATGAATCTTTTCTTGCTTTTTTCATCATGCAGAATTTGAATTTCAACAAAATGTTTTTTGTGCACATGCAATCAATACCACAGATAAAGAAAGTGCAATTTTTTTTGAAAGTCTGAATTTTTGTCTTAATGCATCTGACCAACCGGCTGACGAATTGTTAGAACTGCAAGTGAAATTTATAACCAGTTTCAAACTCATTTTTACAGGCCATGGTCTTCCTTCTGCAAGGCCCCGACAGCAAGTCATCTTTTGAAGCAGCTGCCAAAATGTCTCCTGATGAGCGCAAACTTCGGATCAGGACTTTGAGGAATCAAAGAGAAGAGTGGAAGATGATGAATAATTCTGACTCGTCGGTGAATCACAAACTGCTTCAAGAAGGTTGGTATGGTTAAGCATTAGAATTAGTGACATTTCTTCCGTCTTACAACCCTTTTATCTCAACAAGTACAGTCGGACCTGCTCTGATGGTCATTTCTGTCCAGGAAAATCACATGTACAAACAACCACTTTCCCTTTCTCCCCTAGGTTTTTTAAAATATCATGCTGATACTGTCTAAGACACCAGCCTGTCTAAGTCAACTACTATTGTCCTCGACAATGGTTTGCCATCTTGGACAATTTCAACCGTACTTTGTACTTGCAGTTTTACCATTTTGCCGTCGCACAGACAGCAGTACACAATAACCCATCTGGTCACTCTGCCAGGAGACTGTGCAGAACTGCACCTTGTGACCGGAACGAATAATTTCCTCCGGCGCATTATTGCGCCAAGTGACCGCAAAGTGTTAAGAAAGCTTTTGGTTTTTTTAAGTAAGGTTTTTAAAAAGACAACTCTGACATTAGACTTTAACTCTTTTTGTGCTATGCACCAACGTGTTACTACTTTTCATTACAGTGTATAACCTTATACCGATAAATTGAAGTACAAAAAAAGTTATGTAAATCTTGGCAGAAAGAAAACCTACATAGAAATCTCTGTTTGCTTTTGTTAAAATGTTTGCTTTTATTAAAAGTTTATGCTCTCTGTGACACCTTGGGAATCTTTTTTGGATATGCCAATATGTCATCTAAATACAGGCAACTACCAGTGACCCCTTTAGTGTCAGCAGAGTTTAAGTTATCAATTTATTGTTTAAGAATTTATTATTTCTTGTCATTATTATAGGGAAGTTACAGTGATGATTATAGCCCTGTATCAGTTCTGTTCCACAAGCCTTCACAATGTTCCCTCTTACCCTTTTAAAGATAAGTGAACATATAATTTGTTGATGTCCACAAAGAGAAATTTGCTTCAGCATGGCAAATACATACACGCCTATGCTTCGGTCAACACACACACATGCTCTTACATTTACATACACAGACGCACACACACGAATAGTCATTGGATAGACATATAAACAATGGCATTCTCACACACCTGACAATAATAATAATAATAATAAATTACATTTATATGACGCTCATCCCTGATTAAAGTACACAGGCTCTGAGCGCTTTACAATGAATGAATAGCTCATATTTTAGACGATATGAATTATTTCAAAATACCCATTAGTTCTTGCTTTTTAGAGAATAAAACATTTACTTTTCTCAACGCACAATATTACAGCCACTGGACTGTACTTTGAGCAAAGCCGTGCTGATGTTGAGAGCAAGGACCACAATGCCACTGACTCGACTGTCATGTCGTTTGTTCTGGCTGACCTGCAGCAGAGACAAGAGGTTGAATTTGAAAAGACTGTCAGTGAAATTCATAAAAAGGTGAAAAGATTTGAACGTCGCTTTTCTTTTCTTTTCTTTTTCTTTGGTTCTTTTTAAATGGTAGGTAAACAGAAAAATGTGAGGCATGCGGACAAAATGAGTTACTTCTCACAATCCACAAATGGAGATATTGGCCAAAAAACGACTCAAGGGTCAAATTTGCAGATTTTCTATTTATGCCATATTCTTTGAGCATAATAAGCCTTTTATTATTTTATACTTTTGAATTGTAAAAACTTCACCTATAAGCGTGACACTTCTATTTCTATAGGTCTCGAATCCGAGAAGTAACTCATTTTGGCAGCACCCTTCACATTAATGCTCTGTAGACATACCAATACATACATATTGTATACATATAAATGAGGAGTCCACGGCAAAAATGAGCATAGTCACAAACTGGAAATTGTTAGGGTGTCAATTTTAAAAGCTTGTGGACTCAAAACTTCATATTTGTTTGATTATTGGTTTATTGCTATGTTTGTTGAAAGGAAAATCTTACCACAATAATCAACCAACAGTTAAACAGAAATACAGTTATAAGTCAACAAGCGTTGAACCCTCACGATTTTCAGTTTGTGACTATTTCTGTTTTTCTCGTGTACTCCACATATATAATAGACGTAGTATGCTTTCACATTCCTTGCAGACGTATCAATGCATTATGTAATGTTCCATATATTTGGAGGATGGCTCTTTGTCAATGATAATAAATGATAATAAAAACATTTACACTTATTATATCCTTTTGGCAAATAAAGGGCAAAAAGTTGACCATACTTTAAAAAGATGCATTATATTGATTTGCTTCGATAAGGCTCATACATGCACGCGCGCGCACACACACACACACACACACACACACACACACACACACACACACACACACACACACACACACACACACACACACATGCACACACGCACACACACACATGCACACACACACACACACACACACTTACACACATCAATGTGTTTTAGAACGAATTAACTTTCCCCTCTTTGAAATTCTTTTCAGAATGCACAAGAAGTGACTCGGCTCGTTTTGAGTGAGATAGAAGCCACGAAGGAGGAACACTTCAACAGCATCGCCTACGTCATCTTAGGTTGCGTTGACCTCAGTGCTGAAGACACAGCGTTCCTTAAGGTTTTGGATGGGAAATACAAGGCTCTCAGAGACCAGGTCTTTGTTTTTGGACTTGTGGATAAAATGGGATCCGAGTGGAAGGGGTATGTGTAAATATCTGACAGGTTTTATGTTAAATCTGAAGCTGAGACAGTTGAAGTTAAAGTAAGAATAATTGTCCTGAATCCTCTCTGATAGGAGTCTTATTTTACTCATAAACTACACTTTTGGCCAGTGTGTTAATTCTAAATTTTCATCTCAGTCCTTCAAGTGACGTTGAGAAAGGCAATTTTTTGGTCACCTTTACAAACTGCCGTTCACTTTGACTTTCATACATTGTATGTCTTTGCAATTCGATTTATTTTTATCCTTTGCAGGTTGTCGAAAGAGAACAAACAGAGAGAGATACTACGCCAAAGGAAGGAGGAGAAGAGACTGAGAGGAGAAGGGCTTCTGGAACAGATGTCAGCCCTCATTGGGCCTCGGTCGCAGGTGAATGGTCTAATGGTCCACTGGCTTCTTAGTTTGGACGTTTATTTGAAAATATGACACCTTTTTAAAAGTAATTTAGGTCATTTTGGCTATGTTGAAACTTGATTCAAGGAATAATTTTTCTTTCAAAGAAATTTGTAGCCTGAAACATTGCCAGTGATTGTGACACTCTGGCTCTTTTGTCATATCAGCTGTGCGCGAGAAAAAGGGCTTTTACAGTTAGTGGATGTGGGTGGTTGGCGGGTGCTCTGGTGTGGTTTGCTTCTTCTTTCCTATCAAACATCTATCGTCCTTATCTCCCCTTATTCTTTTTTATGTTTGTCACTCTCTTGTAACACCTCTATTCTTCTGGTGCTCATATGACCTTATGCAGTTGCGAGCGCCGTAAAACCTCAACTAAAACAACAAAGTTGGTGGATGATGTGACATAAAGTATTCACCACAGTCATGGTATGGGCTTATTCTAAAATAATACTGGATGCAAATATGGGATATACCCTGATTAAGGAAATGATTTGTAATTATTTACCAGTGAACCACTGTAATGAAGGATGGTTCATATCGTTGTAATGCTATTCCATTTATCTTGCCTTTTCCAAGCTCCAACTAGGCTTTTTTGTGTTTATTTTTTTCTGTTTCTCTCAGCAGGTGTCAGAGTATCTGTAAAAAAAAAATTGGTATTTTGAATCTCTGACTCTGTACAGTGCACCACTTCAGTTGATCTTTTGTATTGAAGTGAATCTTGTTGGCCTGGTTGAGAGACTTATATTTGGGGCATATTTTCTTACTGCTCAAAACGTTTGTTGTAAACCGATTTGAAATTGACTCCTGCTACTTCAAACAAAAATAGTGCAACTTTAGAGATATTAATAGTGATGTAATTTTGAAGACCAAATCATTTGACCCTCACTGAAGTGAAGAAACAAAGATAAGGAAACAATTTGTTTTGGAAACGAAATGACCAGCTTGGGTGAGGATCAGGAAGGTTTGAGTGGAGATAGCCCAAAGGGGTTACTTACAAGAAAATCTTTTCATACTTCTTTCATTGTAACGGATTCACAGAAATGTCTTGAAAAGTTACAGACCTGATAATAGAATGGAAGCTGAGATCTCTGTCCCTGTTTCAAGTCACTGTTTATGGTTTTGAAATTTGTTAATGACAAGGATGTTTTTTTTTTCAATGTGCAGTTTAGATACTGAAAAAAATGTTTATATTATTCCACAGGCTTTAGCATTGCTGCCTACACTTGTTGGAGAAGACAAAGTATTTCCGAACTGTAAGTTGTTGTCTGAATCAGTCCTTTCTCTGATCCTTGTAGACATTAACTTTGTGCCGCTATGGAATGTTGAAGTCATTTGTTAAAGGTGTGGAATAAATTTTAATTGAGAAATGCTTGATCACTAATGTGTAATATTAATTGATCCTTTATGTGCATTCATAAATTATGAATTTTTTTAATTGGTCAAATAGTGGGTGGTTGTCTTGAATAATTTGGACTGTTGTTCTATTCTCATCTTGCACGTATACAGCATCTCCGCCTCAGACATCGGAGTCACGCTCCATCAATCTGCTGGCTGACCTAGTTCCCCGCTTTGACCAGGAGCAGGATTCTCTCGTGTCTTGGCTCCGCTCGGAGGAGGTTAAGGGGTCAACTCTGCGGAGCAAGCATGGTCAGCTGACCAGAATTGCTATGGAGAAGTTTGCTGCCAGCGCTGAGAGAGATCATGAGACTGCGCTGCTGTTTGTGGGCCTCTTGGAAAGAATTGGGATGGCTCTGTCTGGCAGGTTAGTCATCCCTCTTCTCTCTTTGTGATTGATGCTGTTTTAAGGCCTTTTCAACATGTGTTCAAACCTGCTCTAATGAAAACCTGTCTAAGACAATCATTTGTTCAAACTACCACTTCCCACTTCTTCACTTGCTTTTTTTTTCTATATTATAATGACTCTTCGATCCAGGTTGTTATCGATCCTTAATGACACTTCAAACGGACCACTTTCCTCTTCGACAATGGATGGTTGTCTTGCACAGGTTTAACTGTATTTTAGTCAATTTGACCCTGCTATGGACATGATATAAGAGGTAACATTAATATTGTAAGTGTTCTATTTATGTAATGGTAACTTTGATATAATATAAGTGTTTTACTCATGTAATGGAAACATTAACTGTGCAAGTGTTTAGAAGTGTTTTACTTATTTAATGGAGTATGAAGGTTTGATGATTTCTTTTAATGAACAGTTTGATGACTTCCATATAAAATTTGCATTTTTTTTTCATGACTCAAATATAGCTTATAAATTACCCTCTTTTTTGTTAACACGGTAGGCATAAATGTTTATGGCATTTGTAGGTACCTGTGAAAGTGGACTATTGATCTCCCATGAGGACTTTGGGCTGAGAGGGAAACGATCAAAGGTGGACTTTAGGGAGTTTCAGACTTTGAACCTCCATATGTTAGCAAAGTTCAGCCCCATGTTAGTTTGCCTTTATTATTGTAGAATATTAAAAAATGTACTAAGTTGAATTCTAATTTGAATAATATCTTCTTCTCAAACGTTGACCGTTTGGCTACTGACACTTGTACTTACTTTGGCGTTGAAGTCTTTACTGCGCTGTGAGTAACATATTTGTTGTATGATATACTTTTAAGATAATTGTTTAGATCAAATTGATAAATGGGTGTTCACAGGTCAAAGAGTGACAGGGAAAAACAAATTTTGCTGGCCCAGAAGAGGGCTACATTACGGAAAAAGTGTGTCAACCAAGGGGAAAAGCAAAAACCACCACCAGAGGAAAAAGACAAGTCCAATGAAAGTAAGAGTCAGATAGTACTACATGCACTCTTTCTGATATGTTTTTGTCGAACTGGGTATGTGGCAGTGGTGCGGGTAAAGTTGAGGGCTCTCAGATTACTGTTGATAACGAACTCAGTACAGGTTTTTTGGACTGAAATTGGATAAAGTGCAGGAATCTTGGAGTTTTGTGAATATTTCAGCAGTCCTTAGAGCTCAAAGAAAAGTATTGATGCAGTTATATAACTGTAAATGAAGCAAACAGTTGAAGTGAAGAATCCCTGAAAAGTATTTTTATCTATTTTCAGGATTATTTTTTTGTTGTTGTAGTGGTTTACATTCCCCTACTCTCAGTTCATAGGGAATTCTGATAAAGTCTTCAATATCATTGTCTGAACTTTAGCACTACAGGTTTTCTCATACCCCTCCTCCCTAAAAAAGAAAAAAAACCCCTCAAAATCTCAACAAAATGATCAACAACAACAAACAAACCTTGATAAAATAACAACTACAAAAAAACAAGACAAAAACATACAGTAAGATGATTGACGCATAAAAAAATATTGATTCGCTTCTGTTAACTGCAAAACTATTCTAAGACCCAACAGGAAAATAAAACGGATGCTGACCCCAAAACGACCCTTTTTTTTTTTTCAGATGATGAGAGGACCATGCAGGCTATCTACATGCGGGCTGTGCTGAGACGGCACTACAAGGAGCGGGAAGTCATGCTGAATTTGCTCCAAGACGAAGGCATGGAGGAGCTGTTGGAGGCTGCGGCTGTGATGTCTGTGGACCAGGGCAGGAAGAGAATGCAGGAACTGCAGGACAAGAGAGAGAATATGGATCTGGACGACAAAGGTCAGTATTTATATCATCCTCATCAGTGCGTTTCACCCCTGGCAGGGTATAGGCCACATACAAGCTCCTTCCATTTATCTCTGTCCTGGGCCATCCTTCCAAGCTCGTTCCAAGTGAGCTTCATCTCGCTCATTTCCCTTTCCAGACATCTCCTCCATGTTTAGCATTTATGTAAATACCAACTATTTTCTTTTATTTTGAATAGCAATGGGTAGATGGGCTCAGAAAAAAGTGGAAAAAACCTGCAAAATTATAGAGGGTTAACACTCCTTACAAGACTAAAGTTGTTCAAGAGGCAGGACTTCCAAATTGAACAATTGTCTTCGATAACAGCGACAAATCAGGAAAATTTGTGTAAAATGCTTTTCCCAAGGATACAGTATTGGACTAAGCTGAGCATTGAACCCCCGAACCCGCAATCTCACTATTATGAGTGCTATAGTCTAAAACTAGACTACTGACACCTCAGATAGGCACATTATAGCTTTGTTTTGATTTTCAGTCTTTTGAGAAGGTGTGGAGTAGTGTTTCTTTTCTAGAAAGGGAGGAGGTGGGAACCGTTTACATGGGGATGTGCTTGTAAAACGTTCTATATTTTTGTGTGTTTTTAACCCTTGGTCGATACTGATTGTAGTTGATAAGGTTTGATCAAGCTGCTTTAATTTATTGCCTACATATTCCTCTTGATAACAAAATAATTAAATTTATTGTGTTTAATTTTTGTGATTCTTAAGAAAGAACTCCACAATTTAAAGGACGATGTTAAATTTTTTAACCCAGATTTGAGTCAAAATGGGAGTGATAAGTGGACGTGATAAGTAGACAATGTCTTCATTTATTCACCCAGCCAATCAGGAGGAGCACACATCCATCCTGGAGGAAGCTGGTGCCATCCGTTGTGCCAGCAAGAAGTTTGCGATGGTTATGGATGGCGGCCGCGCTGTCCTCATGGATGAAGTGGTCGTACAGCTGTTGGCTGAGCTGCAGGATCTGCAAGACCGAGACTTGGCAACAATCTTGAACCAGCTGGGGACTCTGGTAGGGATTTTTATTATAATAACACGATTATACGGAATTTATGTGGGAAATATAGAAATGCTGATGTTTTGGGATTTGAAAAATATGGACCAATCAATTTGATTCTTTTACTACTTGTGTGGCAATTTAACAAAATTTTTTTTTGGGGGGGGGGGGATTAGTTTTTAATGTTAGCGTTGATCTATTATTATATGCTTTTTAATTCAAAAACATTTTGCGTGGTGTTTTGTATGCTAAAAATCAACCTTTTACAAATAGATGCTGAAACTAGTGATGGGGTCCGAAGGGTTATATTTGTTTTTTGTAGATAAATATCCTGCATTTTTTCAAACTGAATTCCCTTTACTCTTGAAAGTTCATTTCTTTTCTGTCAGAATGGCCATGAGATGCAAGAAAAAGCTTGGGCAGAGGAGAAGGCGAAGAAAAACAGCCACAGTCATTTAGTCATGAAAGTTTTCATGAAGTTCGACGGAGGTTCCTCAGACATTGATTTTGATCAAGTAAGTGCGTGTTCGATGATTTTAGGATTCCCAATCACAGTCGTTTGTTTCGAAAAGGGATGGGATACTAATTGGAGGTACTGTGGGTTCTTTAAGAAGAGGTAAATGGGAAAAAAACCTGCTTGATGTGTAGATGAGCCAAAACTTTTCAGCCTCAGGGAAAAGGCAAAATGTTTTTAGCACCTATGGACCAATTCACACCTTAATCATACTTCATAGCTGAGCTTCTACTTTTATATTTGTACCTATGACTTGACAGTTTCACCATTTCTCTTGTGACCTAGGAAAACTACATTGAATTGTGCTTTTTTTAAAGGATTTTAATTAACAAAGTCACTGAAGTGTTTTGTACAGTACATAATTATGGTTATGTAGAGTTGAACACAATGATTCACTTGAGAGACATATTCTTGAAGCAGAGGTAAAAGACATGAAAGAAAAGGGAAGACCTAACATTGGTGGGAACAGGATATAGAAACCTGGCTTAGAACCAAAACAACTCAGTCAGAGAGAATGGCCAAAGACAGGGTGTTTTATTGCAGAAAGGTCTACTGGAAAAGCTAAGAAGCAGAAGAAGAGAAGTGCCAAACAGTGAAAATTATTGTAGATTGTAGGTATCCAATATATTGTGAAGTTGTGAAGAATGCTACTTCATTTCTGGGATGAATATTCTAAAAGATAATTGTTGGAAGGGATGCAGAAAGAAAGATTAAATATTTGGTCAGAAGGACAACTGAATGACTTCTGTGATCGCTATGTTAAACGTTATAGGTATCATGTACCAGATACAATTTTATTGTTAAATAAAAGTTTCACAAAGTCCATCATAACACCCTACTGCTTTCCCATCAATGCAAGTACATTAACATATACAAAAATATCTGCAAATACTTATACATGTGCATGTTTAGACAAATATAACCTCACTTTCAATGCACACAGGTACATGAACACACACACACACACACACTCACACAAACACACACACACACACACACACACACACACACACACACACACACACATGTCTACAAATATACACATACTCACTCTCACATGAACACATGCACTCACACTCAAACTCAGAAACAAACACACTATCAGAGTATTCTTCCACCGCCACCCTGGCAAAATTCAAAATTAATTCCTACCAAACTGAAAATGTTTAATGTGTCCTGTGCACTCATATGACTTTGTGCCGTTGCGAGGGCCGTAAAGCACTTACCAAAACAAAACAAAAACCCCCACTATCAGACATGCTCTTTTCGCACTGAATAATATTCCTCTTGCCCTTCTGCAGTTACTGGATGCCAAGTACAGAAAGCTCCGAGACCACCTGATTGATGAGTGCCTGTCACAGAGACAAGGGAAGCTGAAGTGGGCCAAAATGGGACAGAAGCAAAAGAACAAGCTCATTTCCACTTTCCAAGCTAAAGAATCTGCGTTGTGGAATGAAGGTTAGGACTTTGCATTTCCAAAAATGATAACCATGATCAGCAGATTTCTATAGCGCCCTTTCGTCAAATGGGCTCAAGGCACTTTACATCAATACAGCACCATTGTAATTTTTGTTGTTGGTCTCAGTTGTGTTATCACGCCATTTGGTCGCTTTTAAGCACAAGGGGGCTATCCAGAAAAATGCTGTTTTGAGAAAATCAAAGGTAAAGTTTTTGCCTGTTATTCAGTTTCTTTAAAAGACAAGGAGAGTTTCTCAATAACCGAACAAATATATACACACCAATGAAACCAAATTTCTCCTATAGATAAGACAATGCCCACTTTTGGTGTAGGTCAAGTTTTCTAGAAACCCCCGAAACCTGGGTTAGCCCGCTTGTCCTTAAAAGTGACCATTTTTCTCACAGTCCGATAATTTTAGAAAAGATGTGTGTATCAATGGTGCCATGTCCAAATTAGCCATGTCAGGGCAAAGAGACAACTCTCTTAATCCTTTTGTGCACATTTCTAATTTTTTAATTGAATTTTGTCATAGATGAATCAGTGTGTATATATTTTAGGATCACCAATTGTAAATAAGGTTATTAATAACATAATTGAAGACAAAAAGTGTTTTGCCTAATTTTACTGATACGAGCTATAGTCAGACACTGATGATGTATGCTTTCTGTTGCAAATAACACTGAGCATTCTTCCAGTTCAAGCTGGCTCACTGAACCTGATCTTTTATTCTTATTATTATGATTCATCACAGGCGACAGTGGCAGTCTGTCGGCATGTCTGACCCCAGCCTTTACCTTGAAGCCCACCCTTCCTTACCTGAGTGGAATGAGTCGGCAACAGTACTCGTCGGCTGTGTGGGCTGGTCAGTACAGTGTTCTCTCCTTGGTCCTATTCTGTGTATTTATTTTTAACCATTTCAATGCCAGCCCCTAAATCCCAGCATATACCCTAGCAGTTCCATGCCTTAAATGGGAAAAAAGTAGGAGTTTTACCCCATGTGCAAAAAGGTTTGTCAATACTTTATTTTTGCATGGAACTGTTTACTATTTGGAATAATAACTGAGATATAAAGTTTCTATTAACTGAAAGTTTTAAAAGCCACGTGAGTTGCTAAATGAAGCGCAACTTTGTTTCTGATGATCTGGCACTCAAGTCCTAATTCAACGATTGTCTGAAAGGGCACTGAAAAAGTTAAAAGTTTATTTTTTACTTCTTTACATGGAGTGTCTCTTTGAAGGGCAAAGTGCTTGACGCTGACTCGCTGCCAAGCTGAAAGGAAAATCTTACCTGAAGATAAACTGGGATCCCATTTACTTCAAGTTTGTTAATTTCCCTTGTGGTTTAGTCAGTGCCCGTCTACTCCTAGCTTGTATTCATGATTTTGTTCTACTTTGGAGTTTGTGAGCGTCAATTTTATAACACTAAAGAGGAGGCACTATATGGTGTTAGCTAGTTGCATAAATATGTTGAGATATTTACCAAAATTTCAACTGGTAATACTTTTTTTTTGTAACGCTTGATGTCTGTGGTGTTGCGGTTTGGCTCTTTGAAATTGCATGCAGACAACAAGAGTTCTATTTTTTATTTCTGAGTACAGAATTTTTTTTGGGGGGGATATCTGTCTAATTACAGATATCTTTTATCCTACTCAGAATAGGGTGGCAGTGACAAGCATAATCTAAGCTGCCTGCCTCCCAAACAATCATTTTGAGTTGATGGGGGCATAAAACATTGACACTTATAGATAGAAAGATTAAGGACGGTGAAAAGAATGTGGTAGTCTGTCTTGTTTTGTCTACATTTTCTTTCTTGAAAGTCAATATTTGATTTGAATGTGGCTTTTTTTAGATTAGTAATTTGAGAAGCCGCTTCAACTTACAGGAAACAATTATGAACAAAACTTTTTGCACCTATTCAGGAAGTGAAGACCCCATTCAAGAAAATGAAGGACTAAATCCTGATGACCAGGGAAATGGAGAAACAATATCTTTCCTGCACAGACGCTACATGGCTGAGGTGGACTTTGTCAAGAACTACATCGCAGGTTTGTTCCTCTAAATCACTTTTCATGACTTATTGTATCTTTGGTTTCTCAATGGAACAACTCACTGTTGTGTGGTATATAAACCCTATTGGAAACACAGTGTTTCTCCTCTTTCTTCTCTTACCAAGTGGGTGGTTTGCGGTTGCTCTGGTGTGGTTTGCTGCTGCTTCTTCTTTCTTATCAAACATCTATTGTCTTTTTCTCCCCTCCTTCTTTTTTGTATTTGTTACTCTCTTGTAACACCTCTAGTCTTCTGCACTTATATGACCTTATTGTGTTGCAAGTGCCGTAAAACACTAACTAAAAAAACAACAACTTCTCTTACCAATGATTGAGCTCAGAGAGTAACTGCACATGACTGTAAGATCTTTTTCTCTCAATGCAGTTGATTTTTATGTACATGGCCATTTTATTTACTTAAAATGTGCTCTTCGTTATTCAAACTAATCAAATGCTATTTGTCAGGATGTCTGGAAAAAGTTCCGGAGGAATCAGACAAGAAGTTACTGGAGAACAAACTCAAGTGGGAGTGTCAGCTGGTGTCTTCTGTGGGAGACTTTGTGACTGCCAGCCTTGTGTGTGGTCTAGCAGAGAGACAGAATACAGACAGAGTCTTTAGGTGAGTGGAGAATTATTGGCGAAAACTGATGGTAATATTGGTGTAATGTGGGGATTTCAAGCTCACAAGGGCCGCCCACTAATAAAAATTGTTAGAAAGAGACAAATGTGAGGTATACTGACAAAATGAGTTACTTTTCACAATCCAAAAATGGAGATATTGGCCAAAAATCGACATAAGGATCAAATGGTAGATTTTCTATTGATGTCATATTCTTTCACTATAACCTGTCTTTTATTATTTCATTCTTATAAATTTTTAAAACTTCACCATTAAGCGCGATGTATCTATTTCTTTAAGGCTTGAATCCGAGAAGTAACTCATTTTGTCAGCAAGCTTCACAAATGCAGTTTCTGGATCACTTCAATCAACATAAAGCCTTGGACATATCTTTCTCTCACTGGTAAAATTGAAAGCAAAAGAGGCAGTGGTAAACCAAGGGCAACTTACTTGGAAAATGTGAACTGATAGATGAAGGGAAAAGACCAGGATAGGTTGTTTTGTTTTTTTCAGAGCATTCGAGAAAAGAAACGAATTCTAGACCATGATCGCCATTGTCTGTTGCAGATCTGGCTTTATATGATGATGATATGGGGATCTCAGACTCTGTGAGGATAATTGTTCAATATGATGATAACTATGACTGAGCATGAAGAAATAAATCTGTTCTATAATGAGTAAAATGAATAACTCATTTTGACACTTTTTCAAGGGGGAATAAAGGAAATTGAAGTGAATGTTTTTTTCTTGTGACAACATTGAATTAGTTTCTCAGTTTGGAGCACATCAGTTGCACTAGAATGATTTTTGTTTCTTACCACTTGTTTTTCTTCTTCTCTTTTGGCAGACTGAAGTTAGACCATGACCGCTACGGACTCCTTGCTCAGCAGCTTCTGGCATGTAAGAGAGAACAGATAAAGAAGTCTGCTGATATTGTCAAAGGAGATGATGTAAACAAACTCCAGGTGAGTGTATTTCTGCTGTTTTACCTGGCTTTCTCTTCAACATTCTGTAAAATAATGTTTATCCTTTGGACCTGAGGGCTCCTAAGCAGGCACTGCTGTTACCTTTTTGAGCACCGGGCTCATGCCTACATGTGCTTTCTGAGTACCATCGGGCATGTGGTGGAGTCTGTTGGGTGAAACCAATATGTCTGCTTTTTTAATGTCCAAAAGAATGGTTTTATAAAGAAGTGTATTGGTAGCATGGAGGGAATAGTTTGATTAAGGGGATTTACAGTAGGTTATGTCATAAATGCTATTATAATGGAACTTGAGTAACTTTCTGAGAAATTTCAAACACAGAAGCTGGAAGGAAGACAGACCTCATTTCGTCTTCTTTCCTTTTTGTTTTTCTTTTTGTTGAGGTTTGCAATGTGTTTATGCTATGATGGCCACATTAGGACTCAATATTTTTGCTTGTCATTGTGCTGAGTTCTTGGTACTTCTTTCTCAGAAAAATGTCAGTTAAGGAATACTGCTGAACCTGCTCTGAAGATTACCTGTCTAAGGCAATCGGCTGTACAAATGGCCACTTCCTACTTCCCTCCTTTCGTTTTTCAGATGTTATGGGTGTAGGCTTAAAGAAAGGTACCAAAAGTCTGATTTTAACCATTTTTTGTCATTAGCTTGTAGCTCAAAATGGTCTGTTGCGACTTTTGGTACCTTTCTTTAGGCACACACTCATATTGTCCAAGATGTTCACCTGTCTAAAACAACCACTTTTCTCCTCAACATTGGATGGCCTTTTTTTTACAATTTCGGCTGTATTATTGCAATTCAATGTTTGTTTTTCAGGAAGCTGTCATGACACTTCTTCACAAAAAACATCAGGACGAGTGGAACATTTTGTGTCAGATGATGGCCAGTGATCGTTTTAAAGAAGTGAGGGAACTGGTTGCCACGGAGACACAGCAACAAAAAAGTGACAGGCTGATGGTTCTGCATGGCATTCGGGAAAAATTTGACCTCGGTGAGAGATGCCAGTACTTCTTTTTTGTACTCACTTGCTGTTAAAAAAGGGATTGATTGTGAAGAAAGAAGAAAAATCATCAGATAAATACTGTCTGTAGGATTGAAAGTTCTTATTGAAATAAGAGATTAAAGCATAACAAGGGAAGCTCCAAATAAAATGTTTTGATTTTTGCTGTTGGACATCAAAATGTTCAACCATCAACAGCGATGCACTTTTGATAGCCTCTTATCTGAGCTTATTATATGTTCTTTTCACAAGGCAGTAAAGCTTTGTTGTATTCATTATTATGTGTTTACTTTTTGCTGAATTTCACTTGTTTCTCAGATTTGTAGATGAAGCAAGAAGAGACCAGAAACATGATAATACTTTTAAATAACAAATCTTACACTAAAATTCAATTCATGGTTACATTAAATCTCTTTAATAGACTTGTTCATCCCCCCATTCCCCAAATTTCCAATATGTCTCCTGGTTTTCTTTTTAAAGCTGCCTCATCAGAGCATCAGACAATTCTGGAGGAGGCAGTGACTGTGAAGAGAGAGATGCGTCGCTGTCACCTCTCAGGTCAGAGTTCATCTGGTGAGGTGGGGGACAGTGAAGTCAACGTGTCTCTCATGGCTGATCTCCTCAAGACCCAGCTTGTTGAAGCAGAGATTTACCTCGGAGCGTTCTCTGCTGAGGTCAGTTGTAACTCCTTTCTCAATATGTTTGAATACTGTAAAGAGAAACTCCAATAGTTTGCTCTGGAAGTAATTCCTTTGTAATGAATTTGATTAAGCTTTTTAAGTTGTTAGAATAGAATAGTAGCCTTAAAATCATGACTTTTAAATGATGTGGTAAAAAAGATTCTGATGAAAAGGGAATATTGTTATCTAGAGGTGGCTGAAATAATATTGCATATCCTGACTTTGATACCAACACTGTTTATAGTCTTCATTTTGATTGTATATTTTACATTTTGAACTTACATAATTGAAAGAACATAAGAAAGTATCTAAATATTGCCTTGAAAGACTAGTTTCAAAGATTGTTTTATGTACACAACACAAAAATTCTTGGTTTGAAAGATTTTAAAAAAGGAACCAGTGAAAACATAATTAGTGGCACTAATTTGCTTTTCTTTTCTTTGTTTTTTTAATATAACTGATTTTTTTAATGTGTGCTAATATTGACCTTGTAATACCAGTATTGGTAATAGCTTTGTATGCCACTTCACCTGTTCAGAGCAATGAGGACTTGATAGAAAACCAGCAAGCAATAGCCGCAGAGCTGACCCAGAGTCATGCGATCAACATTGCTGATGTGGTCTTTGCTGCTGAAGGTCATGACTCGGCTGACTCTCAGAACCAAGACGGACTACTGGAGGAAGCTGTGGATGGGAAATACGATGCCCTCAGAGATCAGCTGTTGATCCAGGCTCTGATCAATGAGGTGAGAAGAGATCTATAGTTGCAAGATGTGAACAATTTCAACTATTTCTCTTTGTATTTCAAGATTTCTGTGTCATGTTTAATAAGATAGGTAAGCAGGCCTGACAGTTGGGAGTCAGTACGTTCTGTCATAATGAAGAAGTTGATGAACAAGTAGTTTTAGAGGCTGTGTAGTCTCAGTGATCAGGGCATCAATTTACCAAATGGGCAGATGAGATTAGAGTCAAAGCTCTCAGAGTTTTTCTTGTTGTTGTATTGGGAGAATTATATTAAAACCCTTAATATTTTTCTTTTTAACAAAGACCTTGTTTCTCGCAAGTGTTACCTTACTTCACTTTATCTTTGCATTTATTGTCATTCGTAGATTTCCATTGTAAGTGTATACACCCCATGTTAATTGTGAGTCACTTTGAAAAATCCAAAAGATTGGGAAATATGGGATAGCGCTGATGATACATCATTGCAAATCCAAGCTGGGAGTTTCATATGTGCTGCTGAAGTTCACTTAAGAATAATGCCAGGATGTAAAAAGATGGTAAAGAAGTTATATTTGTGTGAGAGCTTCTTCCAAAAATGTCCATACCTGTACGAAATATTCTGTACCTTACCTATGCTTCCTCAGATGGGAGAAGCGGAGTGGAATCGTCTCTCAGAGAAGGAGCGACAACGCCGTCTGATGGAGCTTAAGCTAAAGGAAAGACAACTCAGGAGAGAAGGGCGATATGATGAAGCGGCTGCCCTTCTCGGTACTTACTTATTTATAATGTTGTTTACATTTCATTATTGGAGTGCCGTTATACTACACAGGCAGTCCTGGATGGAAAGAAGAAATTCTGAAATCAGAATCAAACCTACATGACTTGCACCATAATTTAAAGACCTCCCAATGGGACATGTTGCTGAAATTCTTCCCCTACCCCACCCACTTTAATGTCCTGTGGTAATGGTATGTTTGGTAAATTAACTATAAGGCAAATGTTTGCAGAAAAGGCCGACTGCAGTGAGTCCCAAAGAATTGATTGATCTTTTGCTAGATTAATGCTTGTTATTTGAAAATATCTCGCCCCATGCAGAGCTTCTTGCTAGGTTTCCGTGGCCTTTATTGATCACTGAGCTAAGGCCATGTGCAAAAAAGTGTTTATTATTATTGTCAATAAATGGCATTGTTTTTGACTACCAGAATGTGTGTGATTTGTGACAGGTTCCTTGCTCAACGATGAAGAGAAACTGAGACAACTATTGGGTGACTCCAAGGCTGAGCAGGAACGGAAGCTGAGGGAAAGACTGGAGCGTCGGAAGAAGAGACTGGCTGAAGGTATAAATGACATTTGCATGTATATTCACTATTTATATGAAGTACTCTATGGTGTTAAAAAAAAGTTTAACTTGTGTTTAGAAAATTTTTGTTATTAATGACATTTTTATAATGGATTTTCTTAGTGGTCAGCCTGAAAGTTCTTGACTGACTGAAACAAATTTCATAGGTGACTTAAAAAAATTTCAACATCTTATATTACTACTAAAATGTTTGGATTTTAATTTGTTCACACAGTGATGTTCATTGGCGCTCATATGACCTTATGCAGTTGCGAGCTCCGTAAAACCTTTACTAAAACTAAACTAGTGATGTTCATTATTAAGCACAGTGTAAATTAGTGGTGGGCTGCTTCTTTTTATTTTTACAGGAATGACAGAAGAGGAATGTGATGAACTTGAAGCTGAGGAGATTGCCAGAGAGGAAGAAGAGGAAAGAGAAAAGAAGAAAAATATTTTGCTGTACCTAGAACACTGTCATGATGAGGTACGTCTTGTGTGAAGCAGAAATTCTGTAAGTGCCAGTTATACTTGTTTTTGTTAGTAGAAGTCGTAATTGTGTACATTAGCCAATGATGACCTGACTTTTTTAAACGTACCACAGTTGCGACCTCAGTGCTTTTTTGTCATATCTCCATTTTTGATAACAGTGAAAACAGTTCATAACAAAGAGTGAGCTTAAGAAGATGTGACATTTTCATGGTTAAAAAAAATGGAGATATGAGCACTGAGGTCGCGCAGTATCATCTGTAAAATACTGAGTTTTTTTTATTAATGCCTTCCTTCTTAGCTTTTAAGATGATTTTTTTTCGAGTGTTGTGTACCAAACTTGATTTTACTGAAGATTAGACCCCTCTTGGTCTTCATTGTTTACTTTTCATATATGTAAATTAAAGATAACAAAGTGATTTTTAAAAAGCAAGATGTGACAATATATATTATTCTATGCTGTTAAAACAATATTAAGAACATTTTTGTTAGGTAGTACGGTGGTTCTGCCAACATTTCCTCCTTCTTTTTTGTGTTTTCTTGCTTTTATTTGATATTGAAGGGTATTCTTCTCTATTACAAAAATTACACCTGAAATTTCTTAGCTTCTGGATTCAAAGTGTTGTTTTTTTTCAATAGGAGAAAGCAGCGCTACTTCGACGACTTGCTGAAATGAAAGACGAGAGCGAGAAACAGAGACAAAAACAGCTGGAGATGCTCAGGCTGAGGCGAGAACAGCGGCGGTTGAGAGAGGAGGACAAGTTTGACTCAGCGGCCATGGTGCTGGGACTCTCGGAGGAAAATGATAAAAGGTGCTTGCTTTTCATTTCCAGATAATGATTGATATCTTATCTTTTATGGTGGTGAAGTTTTTTGTAACTGGAAGCATTTAGTAACCCCCAAATCTTTTTTATAATGTTACTTTTGCACCTTCATATAAGTATTAAGATATAGCATGTATGTAGGATACAGGTAATATTGAAGTTGACTTATTATGCTACGGTAAACCGTGATAAATTGATATATGTTCTAATGAAGGGAAACAACAACACCTGGTAATTTTATGTTGAGACACAGTTTGCTGCCAAAGCATGTAATATGTACTCCAGAGATGTACATTTTCACCTCAGTGGTATGCATGGTTTCTGTGCATCATCAGTATGACATAGGGCAGTTGGTAACTCTTGCACATTCCTACCTACCTTAGAAGTCCTGAGCCAGACTGCCTTATCGTCTGAAGATGTAGGTAGACCTACCAAAGCTTCATTTTAATTTTAACACAACATTTTCACACCACTTTGTTGTCTTTTTTAATGTGCTAATATTTGCTTTCTGATGTTTCCAAGGCATAAACTGTCATAAGACAAAGAGCACAAGAGACAACGAGCTCTTGGTAACAAGATTGAAGTTGAAAAAGTATCAGCATAGTTTGGGTTTCATGTGGTCGCTTTTGATTTCTTCTGTTTCAAAGACATAAAATGTCAAAAGATGAAGAGCGTCAGAGACAGCAAGATCTGGCTCGACAACGTCTGGAAGCTGCCAGACAGCGGAAGCTTCAGGGTGAGAACATGGTGCGGGGAGAGACGATTGTCCTGCCTGAGGGGGAGATGGAGGACGAGTCCAAAGTGGGAGAGACGGCCCTCAGGATGCTGGACAGAAGACACCAGCTAGAGAGGGATCTACTCATTAAGGTACTGGAACTGAAGTTTGTTCTGATCCATCTGTTGCTTAGTTTCTTCTTTCCTCTCTTGACACAAAAGAGCCTGGCTTCTGCCAGAACGAGTAGGATAGCAGCAGTCTCAGAGGGCAGCAAATCATACGAGGCTTTGTGAATTAGAAATGCTGACGCCAAAAGAGAAACCCCCAAGCTGCGCACATTCATAAGTGGAAATTTAGCTTTTAAATGCTCAAAATGTGGTACACTCTTCTCCACTAGAATTATTCTAATTGGCCACAGCAGAACCTACTAATTGTCTTAATCCTTATTTCTTCCATTTCTCTTCAAGAAATATTTTCCTCTGCGGATGCATTGGTTCTGCATCAGACACTGACGAACAAAATGTTATTATTATTATTACTTTCCTCACTTGATCAGTGTTTTTGGGATTAATCAATCTCTTTCCTGTTTTCTTTGTCATATTTCCTTTTTTCTTTGCATTTTAGATGAAGCAGTCATGCTGCTTGAAGAGATTACACTTTAGTCAATTGATAAAGTAATACAGCAACCTCAACTTTTCCAATTGTTCAATTTGCACTGGATAAAATACTCTAAATGCCATGGCATACCATCCGTTTTTAGAGAGCTTTTATAGTTGACTGTATATTAATATAAAATAAAAAACATTACACTTTATTAATCCCTGTGTGTCCTCAGCTTCTAGATGAAGGCAGTGAGTCTGAGCAGCGAGATGAAGTCCGAGTACTGACGGATGATGAGCTCAAGATGAAGCTGCTTGCAGCACAAGAGTTGTACGATCTGTGGAGAAACTCAGATTCTGGAGAGAAGGAAGATGGAGAGAAAATACTTGCTGTGAGTCTTTATTAGTTAGCGTTTTAGTGCCCATAAAAGGGCAATTTGTGCTGCATGCTTCCTCCTGGGAAGCCTAGAATGTCTCTGAGTGTTCTTTAGTCTGATGTTAAGTGCATAGAGCATGCTCTAGATATAAATGCAGTTGTTATTTTTATTAGCAGCAGCAGTAGCAGCAGCAATACTATTATTATTATTAT